TTAATATGAAAGAGTCGTTTTCACAGAAACAAAAAATATTTTGTTTTGTTATAATTGGATTAGTCACGCCAAACACTTTTATTTTGAAGGCTACAGTACTAAATATCCGCTGTTCTTGCTTCTTTTGATGCAACTTGAAATCGGTTCAGTCCTCAGGTCCTCAAACACAATTCAAGTTGTGTATTTCTGTCTCTGCTGATTATTGTCATCATCTGGTTTGTGGTTGTGAGACTGTGTGAAGAGCATCAGCTGAGCCGGGCCGTGTGACCTCAGGCCGGACCGATATCAGGCAGAGCAGGAGCCTGGTTCTCCAGACAACCAGGAACCAGAGTCTTCACTGAACACATGTCAAACTGCACCGAGTCCAAATCTCAATTAATGAGACGTGTTTCCTGTCTCATGCAGATAAGAAATAAAAGCTCCAGTGATCCCTCCTGGGAAATGTGTTGAGCTGCAGCAGTGAAAGATTCATTAGGATGAAGATGAAGAATAAAAAAAAGAGTGTGAGCGTGTTCTTTACAAATCAATTCATCAATCTAACTTTATTCATACAACACCTGTCTGCAGGTCAGTGCAGGTCAAAGTGCTTCATGATTTACTGATGAGTTCAAATTAACACAAAACAAATACTTATGCTGAGAAATACTTTAAAGCAGAGTTTAAAAGCTGTAGCACCAATTAAAACGATACAAATAATCACAGACGGGCTGAAAGGGATATAATCTACAATATAAATGCAGTAAAACAAGTGAATAAACCAAAGTCTATAAACCATACTTCATTCTATATTTATCCATGTGCATTGCAAACTCTCTGCAGTCTCTTTTTTTAAAGTAACTGTAGCAAAACAATTCTTTTCAAGTATATTTCTTTATTTATTGATCATTTTCATGTGTGGACAGTTACCTCCTGGTCAGAGCTACACAAAGGCTTTCAGTCCGTGCCTTTATTTTGAAAGTTATTGGCAGAGAACCTAATGAGGGCTGCAGGATGATGGAGGGATGGATGAACTGATGGAATGTGACCGGCAACCGTTATTTAAAACACCTCGACGTAAATTAGGCAGAAAGAATGAAGGAAATCTTGTCCCAGAGAAAAAGACTCCGTCCAACAACCAAAGTTTTTTTAACTCTAAAGTTCAGTTTGTCTCTTCTGACTTCTGTCATTTCTGTCTCTTTGTCTCTTTTTAAGAAATCAAGTGGTTCCAGGTGGCAGTGACTCTGACTCTGTCCCAGAAAGACTTCACGTCTCACTCCAAGTTTCCAGCCAAGTGGTGAAAGAGGTTGTGTGTGATTTATCAGGAGCTTATTCACTGAGGAGGACATGAGGGAGCGTCGCCAGACATTGTTATAGAGGAGAAACATCTGCTCGTCCGCACTTTAAATACACACGAGTTCAGCTCTTAAATGCACTTAATTCCTCTATTTAAACAAAATTAAGTGTTCAGGCTTTTAATGGTTATTATAACTGGTCTATAGATTGATTAATGGAGCGTAACCAAGCCCAGTTGTGCAAGGAAAAGGAAATATGTGAAAATGGAAGGTTTAGTGATGATAGACAGAAACAGACTGTATAGAAGATGGATGAAATCCCAGCTGGTCATCAACTGCAGATGTGCAGCAGCAAAGGTTTTCTCTTTCAATTTAAATCTAGTTTAACATTCCCACTTTAGTTTTGCTTTGTTGGGGAAAAGTGAAAAAGTCATAATTTGACAAGCATTTAATTAATTATTGACTGTTTCTAT